TTTTGAATTTTCCACAAAAATTTTGAGGTTATGTGAAAAAAGTAGAAATACAAAAGTTGTAGATCTTTTTGTTACCTACATCTTTGCTATTTAACTTTTTCTCTTCTTTTTCCAATAGGTTTCATTTTACTATAATTTTTTTGACTTTTTACCTTTTTTAAAGGCTTCGACACTGGTCTATTAAAATAAAGATTAATTTAAAAAAATTGTTTCAGGAACATGCAAGTTAATATTTAAGATTGTGTTCCACCCTGTAATTTTTATTTCTTACTAAAAGATTATAAGACAATTCTTAGTAAAAGAGTAAAATTTTGAAGTAATTTTATTGAGAGATTTTCAAAAATAATAACATAATGAGGACACTGTTATACTCGCAACAAAAAAAAAATATTTGTTACACCACGTATTTTTATTTATTTTAAAGTAAATATTATCCTCTTACATCATTGTTTGTTGACTGGTTCCCTCGAGACAAAAGAAAATTTTCTTTAGTTGCAATTTTTCTTACAATAACTCTAAACAAAAATCTTCCGTTTATTGGTAATACACTGTTGACTTCGTATTTTGTGTTCATCAGATAATTGTGGATTGCATAGTTACCCTAAAATATGTACATCTTTTTTATCGCTTATATTTTATATTTTTATTATGTGTGCAATTTTATTTATAAAGCCTATACTGCCGTGCTTAGGAACACCGCATGTACAAAATTTATGAAAATTTAGTTGGGCGCGAAAAATGAGATCTATAGAGTTTATATTACATGATTATTTAACGCTGCGGTGCACGGGTTGGGTCTGTCAGGTCCATTCAGTTCTTCTAATATCTCTATTCAGTCAGCGAGTCTAAGTACGGTCCTGGCGGTCTAGGTACCTTTCATCGGAATATAATCCCTCAGTTACGAATGCGCATTGAAGCAATAGTGTCGATGATATATCTGTTTTCGTTCCCTCAGACCCAACCCTTTCCTTAATGTAAGTTTTTTTTTTAAAAGTACAAAACAAAATTTGCAGTGTATTGTTTTTTAGAGCTTAGCAAAACAATGTATTCTAATGAAGATAACGAGGAAGTTGCAACTGACGAAGAAAAAAAATTATGAAGATTTAGATTCCGATGAGTCTATATTTGGCAACTTGAAGATGTTAATCATAAATCAGAGTCTGAATTGGATTTTTTTAGACACCGAATTAAACGTACAAGGATGTATTCCATAAAGTAAGTTGTTCAAACCAACACCTTTATTACAATACCAAAGATGGAATGAAATGGAATAAGATATGCGGATCACGAAATGTTAGACCTAGATGAGAAAATATCATAACAAAACTTGCTGGAATTATTCGTGAAGCGAAAAGTTGCAAAACTGAAAAAGAATGCTGGGAACTGTTTTTTAATGACAAAATTATAAAAAATATTGTTGAATGTACTAATGTATATATCGAGCGTGTGTCCGTGAGATATAAAGTTGAGGCTAACAAATATTTGTTATAATTTGTTAATATATTTGTTGGCGAGGCTAACAAATATATGTGAACTAAAAGCTCTGATT